CACGCTGTCGACCACCGAGGAGCCACAACTGTCGCTCTAATGCCTCCTTACTGCTGTGGGCTTCATGTAACTCATCTCCTTGCTGTTGGCATTGTCGCTGCAAATCGTTCAATTGTGCTTCCATCGCCTGCGTCTTCGCTTCGAGTGCACGGTTCACTTCTTGCAACTTGAAAAGCGCGCCACTCTCCACACTAGGCTTCACAGCACCCATCTGCACTTGGCTTACACGAGCACCAAACTGCAAAGAGCACGTCGTCTCCTCCACGTCTGCTGTATTGGGACTCAACTGCAGCATCAACAGTGTTTTCGCTTGTCCAGACAGCATGTCTCGTAGCATGTATGTGAGCTTAGAATTCCGGTACGGTGTGTGCTTCGCCTTGTGCTGCAGCGCGTAAACTACGTCTCCAAGCGCTGCCAGGGACTTGTTAATGTGCTGCGTCTCCCGTAAGCGTTCGCCTTCCACTTGACTCCGAGAAATACGCTCCGAACCAGCCAAATCAACCAAACACAACGTACTCATGCGCACCTCGCGAGTCTCGCGATGCTGGCTCTCAAGGTGCAAGAACACAAGCGCATGGGAGCGACTACTCTCCAGATTCATCTTGGTAGCTGCAATATTCCTGTTGGCGTTTCCGTCACGCATTACAGCATCCACTTGTGCGTAGCCATTCACCTCACGAGCTGTAATATCCGTCTCACATTTGGCCACAGCGTTCTTGCCACTTCCAGTGCTACCTTCGTGCAATAAATCCAGGATCTGGTCGTTGTAAATTTCCACCATACTCACACGCAATGAATCCACATACGTCATTTGTCGCTTCTTCACCATGGCAAAGACGTGCTGTAGTGCCCTAGGGATCATTCCAGCATTGGCATGTACTGTAAGGCCGTTGGCCCGGTGCTCCAGCGGGCCTTGCTCATTGCCCACCATCGTGTGAGTCTTACCGGATCCTGTCTGTCCGTACGCCATTATACAAGTATTGTATCCATCCGTAAACGACGAAATCAAAGGGTCAACCTGTGTATACACCTCTGCTTGAGTGCTGTGAGGCCCAAACACCTGATCAAACGCAAACTCCTTGCCAGAACTCGCCACCAGCAGATTATTCGGTCGTGGCATGATCAACGCCGGCGTCTGCACGTCCTCCTCACTCTCCTTGCCCGGTCTTAAGCGACAGAACACTCGGATTCGACCAGATAACTCGTAGTATTTCTCCGCCATGACTTCCCTCTCCCTCTTCTCGCCTAAATAGCTCTGCTGCAGCACTTTTTCCCGTCTATTCACGTCCTCTACCAGCATAGCCATAGCGTCCTCCACGGTTAACGCTGTTTCATCTCGGTCGTCCTTCACCTGGCTCTTCAACGCTTTAAGCTCCTGCTTCAACGCCCTCAACTCTTGAGCAGCATTCACGGCCACATTCTTCCACTTGGCTACATCGCTTCCCAGGTGCAAGGTTTGGTACCGCAAGAGCTCGTTCTCCTGGAATAGCTCCTCGATATCAACTGCCTGCTGTTCTGCCTGTTCCAGTTGCACTCGCAGCGCTGTATTCTCCTCTGTGAGATTAATCTGGAGAGCTTTGGCGCCTTTTAACTTGGTGTGCA